TTCAAATCACCGTCTCATGAATTCATTGTTAAAGAATTGGCATTCATAAATACTCAAACGAATGAAAATGGACTTGAGGGACTTGGATCCATAATTTTCAATCCCCCTTATTCCTGGGATAAATTACCATCAAAATACAAAAATGTGAATCGTTGGCTGATGGATAACTTCCATGGAATACCTTGGGAAGCTGGTGATACCCCTTATGTGAATGTTAAACAAGTGGTTGAACGAGTCGCAAACAACGCTAGTACTCTCTACGTTAAGGGACTTCAGAAGAAGCAGTGGCTTGAAGGAATTCTGGAAAATTCTAAAACTATCATTAATCTGGAGGATTTGAACTGCCCTAAATTAAGTGATTTAACACGTTCAGAATGTTCAAATCACAATGACAATCGTCATGATATGAAATACATGTGTGCTCTTGAAAATGTTAAGCAATTGAAAAAGTGGTACTTGAAGAATTGCAGGGCCTCTCTTGATCGATCTCTGAAAATGTTCTGTAAGAATATGAGCTTACAACACATGAGTGCAGAGGATATTTCATGTTTTCCAAAGGAGTTTTTACTCATTTTCGCATCTCATAGTATCGAGGATATTTGGGACAAATTACCCGAAACATTAAGACAAGATGAGGACATCGCTGATTGTCGTAAATGTCGTAAACATTATCACAATACATCTGACAACGGAAAAGATGAAGATGACTGCAAAAACACAACATTTTACAAATTTGTGCCTATGAAGAGAGATTGCTTCTTTTGTAAAACATTTGAAAAAGTGTAAATCTTGCGTACTAATTTATGATTTGATTTTAACAATAAAAAACCAATTAATCATATATTTGAAATTTTTTTCTCTAGAATAATTCACATATCCTAATTTCATCTTTGATCCTACGCAAAATATCCCCCTAACCTCTACCCCCTCAGCCCCTATCCCACACCCCCTATCCCCTAACCACCCAAAACTTCCAGAACCTTCCACCACCCCCTCCAAACCTTCCAGAACATTCTACACCCATTCTGCCCCACTACCAATCCGTTCTACCCCCACTACCAAACCTTCTAGAACCTTCTACCTCACCCCCCTCCCCTCCCTCCCCCCGCTCAACCTTCTCGAATGCGGCTCTGGACCTGATGACTCATTTCCCAAGGTCAAATTGGCCCAGAACCGGCTTAGATACACTACTTGCCACGCATCCTTAGGCACGGTATGGCCGAGGCCATGGCTTACGCCGCTTACACACATGGATTGGGTGGACTCCTCTTAGCGACCGCGGGCAGCGGTAGTCCTTAAGACCTCCACCGCCCGCGACCGAGCCCCCTCACTACGACAAAGTGGGAACCCAGGGGGAAATGTATCATAGTGATATACAATCTCGGATGATGTGAGTATTTCCATCTTGATTATTTTTTTCATTGTAGAAAGTATTCATCTAACTCTCTTGCATTTTTTTCAGTTTATTTTTTTTTCAGTCTATAGGCAATTCATACCTCATATTTTTGTTGATTACAGATCTATCGTTCGAGTCGTTGATCAAATTTTTCCTGCAACTTCTACTACTACAGCTGTAGCCAAGACAATTTGTAAATGGACTTTGAATAATGGCGATGGAGAACGCGTTGAGTGTATTGCGTGGAATAACCAAATCCTACGGATTGAACCTCACATTGTTTTGGGAAATGTAATTATAATTTTAATTTTTCACATCATTTTATTCGGTTCTATGAAGAGGTTATATTTTACAGTTTATTCTTCCAATATTTAATTTATATGAGATACTAATTAATTCTATAAACTTTTTCATCGAATATTTATCCAATTGTTGAGGTCATTTTTTATAGTTTCCTTTGATCTAGTATGTTGTAAATCAAATACATTTTAGAGAGTTTTTTCCTTGGGCATATTTGAAGTATCATAATTTTCTTGAATTGTTTAGTTTTTTTTTTTCTTCAAGATGAATTAGTGATATTCCCTCAAATTGAATGATCTATTAAATCAAGTGGATTGTTATTGATTTAATGAACTTATTTATAACTGAGTTTTTACGATTTTTAATCTTTTTTTCTGCAATCTTTAATAGCACACTTTTTAAACATTTTATTAATTTTTGTCTTCTTTCAACTTAAAAGGTGTTATTCCTTAATGGAATTTTCATGAAGGCTGGTAATGTCAAATTCATCAACGGTACAGTCTTATTCCAATTGACTGTGCAATCTAATACTACAATACATGTCATGCATAAATTTGGACCAAATGTTCATGAACTCAACATTTTGAACCGAAATTTACAACTGATTGATTTGCAAGATGTTTGTGGCCATCGTAAATGCATACGTAAGATTTCCACTTATGAGTTTCACATGCATTAAAAAATTTAATTTAATATATTTTTTAAATATAAATAAAAATTAATATATTTATAAATTTAATATATTTTTTAAATATAATAGGGGAGAGTGGGAGAAAGTGGAACGTATCGACTTAATATCCCAATATCTCTGCTTATAAACAAAGATATTAAGAATTAAAGTCGATGACAAACGTTCCACTTTGCCCCAACCTCCCCTACCATTTTTATCAAGTTGTCATGGAAAATTGTTGGTTTTTATTCAAATTCTTTCAAATTTTTTATCAGTCTCTTTTTTGTTAATTTGTAAATACTAAATTTTTTCTTCTTCAGGTGTGCAAGGATTCATTAAGACTAATTTTGCTGTCGTTCAAAGAGCGGAAGGTCTCCCATCATCCTATTTCGGAGTCATTGGAGTGGATGATTTTTGTCTAGAAATAAAAATCACTCAGTCGCAAAATTCTAATCATTCTTTTGAGATTGGACAAAACGTTGAAATTCAAGGATTCATTCGAAATACTGGTGTGTATTTTTTGTATTATTTTTTTTTTCATTTGCTAAAATTTGTAAATTTTAAATTTACCATTCTTTCCAGCTGGATTTCCTCCTCAGTTTATCATTCGCTCTTTATCTGATATTACTCTGGTTGATGGTGGTATTGTCAAGGATATAGCATATTTATCCAAATGTGTTCAATCTCCTATTGATAACACGAAGAAATCACGTCAAGATTAATTTTTTAATCAATTTTTTGAAATTTTGATTTTTTTTTCTTTCAGTCATCCAATTGGATTATTTTTAGAATCATCATCATTTTTCAAATCAACAATAAAAATGGCTAGTATTTTTCAAATATTATGATCTGCAATGATTTTAGTTTCATAATCTCAACATTTTCATCTTTAACAACGGAGTTATTTCAGCAGAACTTTTTAATGGAAGAAGGTTCAATGAATAGTCAACGATTAGATTTAATATTTAATAAAAGGTGAAATCGTCCAGGTAATAGTCCATGTTTAGCAATTGGCCTGTTTATCTTATTTTCATTTTTTGAAGTTTGGTTTATGTTTGTTAGAATATTGATTTTCTATCTCTTCCATATTCATTTTAGTTTTTTTTTCGGTTTTGATGTATACCCTCTCGGGTTTTTAAATTTTATTTCTTTCTCCTCCAGTGCTTTGAGACTTGACTTTCAATGAATGCTGATGGATGCTCAATAATACCTAAATTTACAAATGAAAAGGTTAAATTTAATTTATTTATCAATGGAAAATTTAATATGAATTTTATTCCATCCACACATTTAAGTAGAAGTATTTTTTTAAAAAATTTATGGAAAAAAATTTGATGTGAAGTAAAGAAATCCGAAATTTCAATTCGAATGATTATAAAACTTTAATTCTGGAGTAAAAAACAAGCGTTACTTGTAATTGAAACAAGAGAAGAACAAATGTCAATTTTACATGAGCAGTTGAAATATATTGAGCATATTTATTAGTTGATTGACGATTATAAATATCATATTTATTTTTTTAAATATCAATCTTTCAAGGGTCAATTCTACTGAGCACTAAGGAATATATTTTCGTTAACTTGAAGTTAAGCAATAAGGTTTGTATATAAAAAAATTTAATCCTTCAGCTAAAATCATCGGTATAGCTTCATTCAATCAGCCTTAATTATTATGTATTCTCAAATTTTCAGTTTTGAAATTTATTCCAATTATTAATATTTTTATAGATGAATTCTCACTCATCTTCATCGATTCATTGCAATCGTTCGGTTGATGCACGGAATAATTCTTGGTTCCCTGGATCTTATCCATATCATCAGAAGCGATTCAATTATTACGATTCAAGATATCCTGCACAATCATCCTATAATAAATATCGATCTTATCATGCTCGATGGAAACAATATGGTAATGTCTTGTGATTTTCTCTTCTAGATTCATCATTTATTATTGAAATAAAATTAATTTTCTAACATTGCGTATTAAGGGAGATTGTCGGAAAATTTTTGAATTTCCTTTGGAGTGAATTTCCTTTCATGACGAGACATGTTGAAGGTTTCGAAAAATTGTTAGCATGATTGATTTTATTCAATGAATTAGCGAGGAGAAATTTTTTTTTTCATGTATTTCTTGTGAATTCATTCCACTATTTTCCATTTTTTAGTTTTTCTTTAATATTTTTTTAAATAAAACGTCAAATGAATGGTTTTGATTAAAGATAAAAATGTTTCGTTTCTCGTGGATGATTTAAAATCATTTTTGTTCTTTATTACTTTTTGAATTGTCAATATGTGAACTTTATTATTAATGGAAATTATTGTGTTATTTTTTCACTTAATATTTTCTATTTTCCGAATTTTCAGGTAATCATCCATATTACACTTCTCAGCAATTTTATCAACGAAATCCTTTGAAGTGCCAATCGAATCAAACTTCTCATCGTTCACGTAATGATTAAGCGAATCATAATCGTTCTACTACTAGTAGTTCTCCACGTCTCAATACAACTCATACTAACAGATCTGCTACTGGTAACTCCTCACGTTCTGGTACAACTAATACTAGGGGATCTGCTACTGGTACTTCTGCATGTCCCAGTACAACTTATTCTAACAGATCTGCTGCTGGTAGTTCCTCATCTCCTGATACAGCTAATACTAGGGGATCTGCTACTGGTACTTCTGCATGTCCCAGTACAACTTATTCTAACAGATCTGCTGCTGGTAGTTCCTCATCTCCTGATACAGCTAATACTAGGGGATCTGCTACTGGTACTTCTGCATGTCCCAGTACAACTTATTCTAACAGATCTGCTGCTGGTAGTTCCTCATCTCCTGATACAGCTAATACTAGGGGATCTGCTACTGGTACTTCTGCATGTCCCAGTACAACTTATTCTAACAGATCTGCTGCTGGTAGTTCCTCATCTCCTGATACAGCTAATACTAGGGGATCTGCTACTGGTACTTCTGCATGTCCCAGTACAACTTATTCTAACAGATCTGCTGCTGGTAGTTCCTCATCTCCTGATACAGCTAATACTAGGGGATCTGCTACTGGTACTTCTGCACGTCCTAATACAACTAATACCAATGGATCTGCTACTGGTACTTCTGCACGTCCTAATACAACTAATACCAATGGATCTGCTACTGGTACTTCTTCACGTCCCAATACAACTCGTACTAACGGATTCGCTACTGGTAGTTGTTCACGTGCTAATACAACTAATACAGCTAATACTAATGGATCTACTGCTGGGGATCTCTACATTCTAGTGGAACTAATGTTGATACATCTGCTGCTGACGCTTCTTCACGTTTCAATGATCAAACCAGTTGTACTAAAAATCCTTATTTCAATTTTTATACACAGAAGAAGAAAATTGAGCAATTGGAAGCAGACTTAGAATTACTTAAAAAAAAATGAATCAAACTCGAACGAGAGGTGGCCGCAATTTACACGAGAGAAATATGAAGTATATTATTTTATTCTGTAGAATTTGTTTATTTTTGTTATTTTTCATATTATTTTCTTTTCTTTCCTTTTTCGCGAAAAATTTAAATTTTTGATAAATTTTTTATTGAAAAGGACAAAATTAATTTTTTTTTCTTGATACCATGGGTGTGCTAATTTTAGATGGATGCCTCTTTTCAGATATTGAATCAATATGTAGCAATTACTTCGATATAAAGCGAATAATTATTACTTCACACATACTTAACATGTCCTAGCGGTCATTTAGTGAACGGAATTCATCAGTTTGGTAATATTAAAATAAAATAAGCAAGTTAAATGCTTAAGTCTCCAGAAACTAGTAAACGATGTTTAAATATTTGAAAATTAATACACCCACGGTAATGTGTGATGAATATTTTACATGAAAAAAAAAACACTAAAACATTGAAATTTTCGAATATTTACAAAAAAATATTTGTTGGACAGTTTAGTCTAATATATTAAACTTTTTGATTGCATAATTTAAGTTAAATTTTTTTACCTTTCTTTTTCACTGTCTGTTTTGTAATGGATTTATTTTTACTGCTATAATGAAGATATTCAGTAATTGTTCAATTTTATAGGTTTTGGAAAAGTCAATATTTTTCTCAAAGATCAAAAAAAACAATCTATCCACAATCTACATCGGACCATACCGGAAATAAATATTATTTCAATTGCAAATGAAATATCTGCCGTATCTGAAGCTTATGGGAAAAGAACAACTCAATTAATGATGATGCTATTTAATCCAATCATAATTGTTAACTTAATTAATCATTTGTACCTTTTTTTATATTTCTCAAATAAATATTTTTAAGTGAATCTTTATTGTTCAATTTACTTATGTTCCACTAATGAGAATTTATAATGTTCATGTGTAAAAACCTTCTCCACTTTTTCAAATAATGGAGAAGAAATTGAGAAGTTTATTTATTGGAATATTTAAGAGGTGACTGCATTAGAGATTAGTTAGGAAATTCCTGACTTCAAATTTTTCAATTTCACATTTGACATGGAAATGCTCTTATTATGTTTGGATTTTGAAGTTTTGATAAAAGTTAAATTATTTTAATCTTCACCAAAAAAAAATTCTTCTTCCCTTTTTTTTAACCATTTTTAAAAAATACCAACTTTTAAATTTCTTTTTTTATTGTTTTATTCACCAAATAATTTTTTTTTCTAATGTAAATTTTTCATTCTTCATTGTTATTCTGATTCTACCTTCATTTTAGATTTCAGTTCAGTTTTTCCCAAGTAATTAATTTGTCTTCCATCATGGACATGCCATTCAAAATTACTCAAGTGTCCTGGTGCCACATTACCGTTTAATATTGACTTCTTGCGTGGAATTGCATTTTCAATAGATATTAGCTGTAAAAATTGAATAACTGAATTAATTTTTAAGTAATGAGAATTGTCAATCTAACGAATATTTTTAATATGAATTACTTGATTAAATTTATAAGGATGCAATAATGTGCATTGTGTGTCGAATAAAACGATACAGTAAAAAGGTAATGTTCCTGGATATAAATTGAATCGGTAAACGCGTTTGCCATTAATTCATGCGTATCCCGATCGAACAGAACTTACACCTATCAATCTAAAATAGAGATAACGACTGGCTTGAATTATTACATTTTTTTCAAATATCATTAGTCACATTGTTCTATTCCTTTTGTGGTATTCCATCTTGAGGGATTACAGATGTAGATCTTCCATATGTATATTCAATCAACTCCATTTTGCTTTACTCAATGATTGATGGGATTGTTATAAAGATTGTGATTGTTATATTAAAATAATGGGTTTCCTCGTACAACCGTTAGCTTCGAGGTTAATTTTTTCCCATTCTTTTATGAAAGAAGTCAATAATGTGAATATAGGTTCATGAGGTTGTAATTTATTTTTATCATTCATGTGTTTAATTTGATAGAATCAACTGGTGTGTTTTTCTCTCTACATGACAGAAGGTATTCAAGGTTATTGTTCATTTAATTTTTATTTATTAACGATTTAATCGATTTGAAATAATATACATGAACATGTGTATAATTTTCTTGAATTTATACGAATGAATTTTTTTGGTGTCATTTCTTTTATTTCTTATGTTTCATACTATCTCATTTTATTTCAGTTTAATTGGATGAAGCGAAGAAAATCGATTGTTGCATTAAATAGTTGTATGATCAATCCACTTTGGATGTAATTGATTCACAATTAACAAAACTTTAATGCTTTATTTACCAGTGGCCGAGCAGAATTTTTGAAGGGAAAAAATTCACTCAGGTACAGTGAGATTTTTTTTCAACGATGAAACTTTGAAAATTATAACGTTTTAATTTTCGGCAGTTTATGATGGGACAATATGAAATGGAAAATTCTCGTGGTTAATCTTAGAAATTCTATTGAATTTATATTCTAATTTGATAATAGTACATTGCCATATAAGTACCGGAAGTCAAATATAACCCATGAGGGTGGTGAGTTAAAGCAATTTTTTGTAAATGACAACATCTATAGCAAAAAATATTTCTTGATGTTTTCTGTTATAATCACTCATTAATCAGATAATTCTATAATTAATCACCATCATGAAAAATTTGATTTTAGGTCAAATTTCATGAATCTTCAATGGTTATGTACTTATCTCGATAACGAGTAATTATAAGAAAATGTTAAAATATTGTTTTTGTAGGTGAGGAAATCCTCTACAAAAATTTCTTGATATTTTTTTGTAGAATTCTTTTTTATGGGAATAATTGATGCAGGGAATCGATATATATCACTCCAGCACTTCACTATACAGAATTAAAACTTTCCCCAAACTACAAATAACATATCCAGGTATTTTATTCCTGTTAACCTCTGACATTATATTCCGAAAATCATAATTTTCATCATTCTCAAGAGTTAAGCTCTTTTTGAATTGCATGTTAAAGATTTTTCTAAATTAGAAATCTACATTGCCGAGTAAAAAAAAATGTGTATCGGAAGAGACATTATTAGTCTTGGGTATTCTTTCACGAGGGTGTTTCTGTTTCCTAGTCTATACCTCTAGGTCTAAGTGTCTAAGTCTGTTTTTTACTAGACCTATTTCTTTTTTACACTCCCGCAATGTAGGTTTCTTCTTTAACCCCATTAGGTCGAACGAAGCATGATTGTTATGAGATATCATTCTTGTGATGTGCAATTATTTCGTTATCTTTGATTTTTATAATCGTTTGTATAGCGTTTTATTCATTCGTCGTTTTAGTGATTTTTCAATTCAATCCTTTGTGATTACGTTCCTGTTTTTTTTGCATATTTAGACTGAAGAGGTAAATTACTGTAACTGCGTATTTTTTTTCTATTTCCAACTACACGCGATGGAAAATAATCACTCTTCTCCAGAGTTGAGTTTTTGTCAATTAGTGGGTTGATTTATTAGGGTGACATTTAATATTCACCATTCATTTCTAATATTATTGGGGCTGGTTTGTTCAGCCTTCTTTAGCTAAAGTCTCCATGAGGTAACAGAGGGTCGAAGTGAGAATGCCATCAATTTTTGATATGCTCTTCTTGTGTAGCGCTCAGACCGTCATTGGCCCAATAGCGTCATTAGTGTGTAAAATGTCCATAGCTAACGGCTAGTTTACAAAATTAACAGCTACTTCAAATCTGAAGGAGTATGGACCGGTTTGTTCAACATCCTTCAGCTTTAAAGTAGGGTCAATTTTGGCAAGTAGCCTTCAGCCTAGAGATGCCGCGAGACGAGACGAGACGAGAGAGAGACGTTATTAGAGAACCCTTCTCTCGTCTCGTCTAGTTTCGAATATACGAGAGAGATGTTCCCTCTCGTCTCGAATTTCTCTCGTAGAATGAGATATTCTCTCGTCTCGTCTCGTCTCCTTTTCAGTCCAGAATCCAAGAATGCAAGAATTCCTATACTCTGATATGGGAACCTGGGGTAAAATCGACACTTTTTTGGAGATGTTAATAACTTATTCGATTTCCGATTGAATGGAAATCTACCCTAGTAGAAAATGAATGTTGCAGTAACGTCAAGGCGACTTTCATGTGGCTTAAGCTCGCGCTCAGGTCCCCGCGACATCACTGCGGCTTCCACGCGACGTT